CCTGCAACAAAAGAGATTTTATGTTCGGAACCATCTGAAAACGCGTCATTGATATGATAAATGCGTATATATGTAGAGTATTTGTGTTTTTCTATACGTATTCTTGTACACAAATGACTGAAAGCATCGTTTTCATTCTTGGACGAAGAACACCTATCAAACAGTTTAGCAAAATGTAATCATACGTATATATATAGGTCTATGTTGAAATTGTTAAAAAAAATAACATTAATAGAAATAAATTAGAAAAAAAAAACTGCAAATTAATTGATTTTTTGTGCGAGGAACAGCTCTTACAGCCACAAGTTTGCGAGTCTCATCTCTGTTCATCTGCATCCTCACAACCTGCGATTCCTTCGGCGATTCCGCCTCCACGAAATCCAGATTCGAAAACCTCAACGCGTTCAACGAGTAACCCAGCACGTCCATCCCACGCGCCCAGAACGGCTTGTTCGCTTTCCCCGTCGGAATCAAATCCTCGATCGCCGGAGAGATCTCCTCCGCCTTCTCCTCCGCAGCGCCACCGTCTCCCTCCGCCGTTACCGCCTCCAGAAAATCCCTCAGCAGCGTCACCGCCGCTGTGCGATCGCATGCCGCCGTGTGAAGCCGAAACGTCACAACGCATCTCCTGCTGTCGCATTCGCCGTCGCCGAGATCGTACAAGCTAACGAAGAAGACACTTGCCTCGCCGTCGATCCAACGCTCAGGATCCGTCCACGTATTGTTGTTCAACTCGTGTTCGAGGATGATCCGGTGCGGCTCGCCGGACAGATCGTCGGTGCTCCGGAGAATTTCAGCCGTCGATGAGGAATTGAACGTTTGGATTTGGACGTGGGACGCGGCGAGCGGTGGCAGTGTGAGGAAGGAGAAGGTGTTTGTAGGAGCGTCGAAACGGAGCTTGGAACGGAGGATAGGATGGTAATTATGGAGTTTCTCGAGGGCATTTTGGAGATTTCGCATATCGGGAGGTTGTCTCAGGAGAAGGGCAATGACGGTGATTCCTGTGCCGCCGGGAACCGCTCGGCACCAGCTGTACTCGGTTCCTCCGACGGGTCGGGTCGCGTTTTCGGATCCGGGTCGCCGGATCGGGCCACTCATTTTCTATCTCTCTCGACTCTGCAACTCGCTCGGTAAGCAAAGAAAAAGGGAAAAGTGGTTGAGGGAGGAAGAAGACCAAGTAAATGTAGGGGATGATTTTTATTTTAGGAAAATTTTGGTGTTGGACTAATTTTTATTTTTTAGTGATCTGTAATTTTATTTTTTTCTTCGGTCTAAATTAATTTATTTATTTTATGTCAAAACATTTTTACTGCCATATCATGTTGGTATTCTAGCATATCTTTTTGTGCATTTTTTTTTTAAATCTTTTTTTTCTTTTTAAATTTTTACATCCATAATTTGATTAATCGGATATTACAAATACAAATTGGATAGCAACTAGTAACAAATAAATTTAGATATTTTAAAATATTAAAAATTAAATATTGAATTATATATCTCATATAAAATGATAATATTCTTTTGTGGTTTATTTTTGAAGATATTTCAATACGACAATTTAAGGGGTTGTGATTTGTGAGTAGGCAGCTTTAGGGGACAATATTTGTCAAAATCCAAGTATAGACGAAGTTGATATGTCCCACGGGAAAACGTGCCATTCATTGATTGATCATATCACTTTTTTTCTTTTTTTATTGAATTGATTGAACATGCATTTGCGTTTTAAAAAAACAAAATGTTGAACTCGTTTAGCATTATATCAAAAATACTTTACACGTAATTCACATCTTTTCCTATCTTTTTCGTGATCAATATGATCAATGACCATCTAAATTTTGAACGGTATAATCATTATAATTATAACTAATGTAATCACTATTTAATTTTATCGATATTAACACCTCGAAAGAGATGAGCAAAAGGTCTGTCTTGTATTCACATCGGTAACATATGTACAACTCAAAGAGATTTGCTAAAACCTAGTAAAATCAGGAAACAATCTAAAGTATATCAACTATACACGACAAGTAAATATACTCGGGAACTAACTCCCTTAACTTCCGCTAAACCCCCTCCTCAAGTTGGTAAGTGTAGATTACACACGCCCAACTTATCGAGAAACCATGCGAACTCCTTCTTTCCGAGATTTTTCGTGAAGATGCCGGCCAATTGTTCTCGTGTCGAAACATGCATAGTGGAGATGTTGTCGTGATCAAGATGTTGTCGAAGATAATGACAATCGACTTCAATATGCTTGGTGCATTCGTGATAGACGTCGTTAGTTGTGATGTGTAAAGCCGTCTGACTGTCACAGAATAGTTGCATTGGGACCGAGTGATCGACACCAAGGCAGGACAAGAGGCTCTTGATCCACACAAGTTCACACGTAATGAATTGCATGGCACGATACTCAGATTTGGCAGACGAAAGGGAAGGAATGGTCTGCTTCTTGGTCTTCCACGAGATCAGTGACAAGCCCAATTGAATAAACCAACCGCTTAAAGACCTCCTTGTGAGAGGACAACCGGCATAATCGGCATCACACCAACCCCGTGATCGAAGGTCCGAGTCAGATCGAAACACAATGCCTTGACCCGGGTTTGATTTAAAAAAATGAACAACGTGAATGGCTGCATTCCAATGATCCTGGCGAGGTTGTTGCATGAATTACGACAATATGTGAACACTGTACGAGAGTTCCGGACACGTGACGGTAAGTTAGATGAGACGACCAACTAACCGTCTGTAGCGAGCTGGATCTCTGAGGAGAGGACTGGCCGAGAGTCCAAGACGATGATTTTGATCGAGCGGGAAGAGTGTGGGTTTGCAACCGAGCAAGCCGACCTCAGACAGAATGTCAAGTGCATATTTCCGTTGGCACACATGTATGCCATCGACATTGCGAGCCACCTCTAGACCGAGAAAATACCACAATGGTCAAAGATGAATTTCCGGAGATGATCAAATCATCAATGTAGCGCCAAAGATCCGAGATACTGCTTGAACGCATGTAGCGCCAAAGATGAATTTCCGGAGATGATCAAATCATCAATGTATACGAGAACTGATACACGCCTTGGCTCGGAGAGGATGGAACAAGGCCGAATCGCAGTCTCTCACACTTCACGGAGAAGGCTCTCGACTTTCGATCGGGTATGATTTTCTAAAGGGAAGAGTGGTCCTCGGAATCAGCCACAGATCAAGGGATGCTCGACGTAATATTCCGAAAAGAAAGATGGGTGGAATGAAGGGGAAGAATAGATAGTGGACCTCGGACACCCCAAGGCTTGAGTTCGGACACACCAAACTCGTGATCTCGGACACACCGAAGATCAGGATAAATTTCGAACAAACCGAAGAAGAGTTTATAAAACTCGAAATGTTTGAGACATTCTACAAGTCTCATTACAAATGATGCATTACAAGCCCTTTATATAGGCTAGAATTCTCAACTACAACATTAAATGACAAGAACATGTAAGAGGGGTAGGAATCCAATGAATTAAATGAGGTGGTTGGGGAGCTAGTTGTTGGAATTGCCTTGATGTCGCATTAAATGAGATGGTTGGGAAGCTAGTTGTTGGAGTTGTCTTGATGATGAAGAAGCTTCCTTTGGATAATTGCCTTGCACTCCAAGCAACTTCCTTTTACTTGGTGGCTTCGATTCGAGGTGGAACTCGGTTATGGAACTCGGTTTGCCCTTATCTTTGCTCCATGTATGCTTTCGTCAAGATCTTCGTTTCGAGATGTTGTTGGGTCCGATGTCCTCATCATTCCCTCTCTCTTCAGAAGTTTTGTCCTCATCATTCCCTCTCTCTTCTTCGTGTTTTGCCCTCAAAACTTCATTACTAAATAAACCGAAATAAAGGATAGATCTCACTGGGGTTAGACGTCTGTTGGCTCGAGCAAGCTCTGATACCAAAATGATACACGCCTTGGCTCGGAGAGGATGGAACAAGGCCGAATCGCAGTCTTTCGCACTTCACGGAGAAGGCTCTCGACTTTCGATCGGGTATGATGTTCGAGAGGGAATGGTGGTCATCAGAATCAGTCACGGATCAAGGGATGCTCGACGTAATTCCGAAAAGAAAGATGGGTGGAATGAAGTGGAACAATAGATAGTAGACCTCGGATAAACCAAGGCTTGAGTTCGGTCACACCAAACTCGTGAACTCGGACACACCGAAGATCGGGATAAATTTCGGACAAACCGAAGAAGAGTTTATAAAACTCGAAATGTTTGAGACATTCTACAAGTCTCATTACAAATGATGCATTACAAGGCCTTTATATAGGCTAGAATTCTCAACTACAACATTAAATGACAAGAACATGCAAGAGGGGTAGGAATCCAATGCATTAAATGAGGTAGTTGGGGAGCTAGTTGTTGGAATTGCCTTGATGTTGCATTAAATGAGGTGGTTGGGAAACTAGTTATTGGAGTTGCCTTGATGATGAAGAAGCTTCCTTTGGATAATTGTCTTGCACTCCAAGCAACTTCCTTTTACTTGGTGGCTTCGATCCAAGGTGGAACTCGGTTGTGGAACTCGGTTTGCCCTTATCTTTGCTCCATCTATGCTTTCGTCAAGATCTTCATTTCGAGATGTTGTTGGGTCCGATGTGTTGAGATTCCTGAAATCTCTAGAGCGAATCTAATTCCTAAGAGATCAGTTCTAGGGTTTGCGCAGCGGATGTAAAACAAAATTTTTGATGAAACCCTAAAACCTAGCATGCATGATCTTGTAGAATCGTTAGAACGCTTACTTCAATCGATCCGGGGCCTGTATCAACTGAAGAATTCGTCCGATCACTTAAGGCAGGAAGAATACCTCGCCCTCTACACGTATCCACACGGCGGAAAGGATTCCAACGGTTGGAACAAGTCTGCTAGGACTGAAGAACGCTTTCTTCTTCGCGCAAGGGTTTTGAGGGATTAATCTCTTAGGTTTTTCACTCTCAAAACCTTTCAAAAGAGTCTAAAGTCGTGACAAAGAGCTTAGGAGGCGTTTCCCAAAGTTTCTTACCCTTAAAATCCTAATTTGGGCGAGTTAATGAAATCCCGACATCTGGACCAATCGGACCAGGTCTGGACCAATCGGTCTGGAGCTTTTGCCTGTGGACCGATCGGTCCAAGCCTCTGGACCGATCGGGGT